GACAATTTTGTCACAGGTGATTTAGTGTTTATTTTTGCTGCATGATTTTTGGCACAGTTAGTTTATTATTGTCGAGCAAATAGAGCAAAGGACTGGAAAAACATATTGGCAATTTTCAGTTGATTTGAAAAGTCAACATGTTGTATGGAATATCATTTCAACAGTGAAAGGAATTAGAATCTCAAGTGAAAATGAACTAAATGACAAATCAGTATCTGATTAAACGAACTGAGATATTGGCAAGCTGTACTTACTGCCTTGATAAGGGTAATGAGACTCAAATTATTGTTCTTCGTGGAAGTCATGAGAAACTCTTCACACCAAGAAATAAATATTTCTTGAAATTTGTTAAATATTTTGCTTACAAGGAATTAACATGCACTTGAAAGAACATAAAGAATGAGCTGTCAGGAATGGGTTGATTCCATTCCTGTTCTGTTGGACTCCAGCTTTGAATATTGACTACTGTTAGAAATGTCAAGTATTACTCAGTTGTGCCAGACTGTACTCCAGAATGAAATAAACCACACAGAAATGGCACTGCTCCTGATAGACTTATGAGCCCAAGAGTATGATAATGAAGCAAACACGAAAGGCAAAAACAGTGGTTTTCAATAATGGATTAGAGGCTTAAATTCGAGTTTTTTTTATTATGCAGTGTACACACCTCTGAGTCTTGAATTGAATGATGCAGCCAAGTTGTTTTTGTACTACAACTCATCATTGGAAAGTATTTCTATATCATGTTTTCTAGTTAACTGGAATGTAGGATTAATGTTGTTCATGCTTTCTAACACCAATTGTGAGATGCCTATAATATTGTTACACCTCCAGTCGTTACTTAATTTTCCGTAAATTCGTTCCGACGAAATTTTAGCGACACAAGTCCTTTCTTAAATAAAACTGGTTTATTCTTTCCGAAAACAACTTTACCGATACACTTAATTTCAACAGTCACTCTATAACAAACGCTAGAACGTCTCACGTGCTCATGCTCGACAATACTCAATTACACACTCTCTGACTGCAGTTCAATTACTCATTACCTACACATTGTCCCGTCACGTTGTGACCATCTTATATACCAGACTACCCCAATCTAGTAATCTCCCGACAATTCACGAAGGTTCGAGAAAGAAGTGGCGTGATACTGGTCACGTGACCTCGCTGACGCAACACTGCCCCTCCTTAGTATTGTTCGTCCCGAACAATAGCCACTTACATTAAACCAATAACAATTAACAATAACTTAATTAAAATGTACAGAATTACAAACACAAAATTACAATTCAACAAAGTTTCTTAATTTTACGGGACGTATCTTCTTCTGTACTGGTCTCCATCTCGTTGGCTTCTGCTTCATCAGGATATGTCCTATCGTCGATAACAGTCACATCAGTGGTAGTAACTTCATCAAGAGCTTCAATGTTTCCCTTCTCAAAACTGAGTAGAGTTTCTTCTTCGACGGTGGCTTCTTCAGGTGGCACATCTTCAGCAGCGTCATTTGTTCTGTTGTCCACTTTGTCCCAACTGAAATGTCCTGGACCATGATAATGCCAAAGCCTGTTGGCATGCACCACTTTTGGCTTACCTCGCCGACCACATTTTACCTGGAAAGTCACGTCTGAGAGACAATCCACTATGTCATATGAGCCTTCCCATGGAGAAGATAACTTAGGAGACTTCCCTTTGGTCTTCCTGGGATTATACAACCATACCTTGTCTCCTGGTACAAAGCTG